ATGTTTCTCATTGAAATTTGAATTTGAAAGCGTACTTTTTAATAGTCCTATCAACTTTTGAAGGCTTAATTATTAAATTGAATAATTTTAGGAGAGTTAATTCATTAAGAAAAAATATTAATTTATAAACTTTTGACGTCACCTCATGTGACATAATTAAAAATAATGAAATAAGTGATTAGTGTATTGTTGATTATTGCCATCGCACATGCAAGATCATATACATTATACAAGTAATGTGATGCCACTTGGGGAAAGGATTAATTAGGCACAAGTTCAAATACAATTTGTTCAGCTGGATGTTTGATTTCATCTGTTGCTATGATGTTACATACATATGGTGTAACAACAGACGGAACAACAACTCCAAGAACAATGAATACTTGGTTGAAGAAGAATGGTGGATATGCTTCTGGAGATCTTTTCGTTTGGGCTTCAATTGACAAACTTGGATTCCATTATTAAGGAAAATTCACAGCTGCATAAGCTAAAAGTATCTATAAATATTAATCAAAAAGCTAAATTTGATGCTGGATAACATATTATCTTATGTGTCAATAGTGGTGGACATTATGTTTTGATGACATCATATTCTGGTGACACCTTCAATGTTAATGATCCAGGATATTCAAAGACCAGCTATCCAGCAAGTGGAATTACAAATGCAGCTGCCTATACTTATAGCAAAATCACCTTTTTCAAGAATCATGTCTTAAATTTGGAATGATTCTATTAATATAAAAAATGATAAAGATATAAATATTTTTATATTATGTAATATTGATCAACCCAGGTAGAGCATTATTAATTTCATATAATTCTTAGCTATTTCTCCATTTCCACCACATCTAATGCCAACTCTTAAAAATTCAGTGGTTTGATCTAATGATGAAATGATAACCATAATTGGTAGATTTAAAATGTTATTTTGTTCAGGTGGTTTAATCATCAATTATCCACAAGCCCATATCATTTGTAAATTTTCAAGAGAGGGGAATGGTTATCTAAATAATATTATTATTGATTACGCTTTCAAATTCAATCCAACAGAAAGCAATCCTCCAGCTTTTTTGAGTACTTCAGACATTGGGATATTAGGTGGAGCAGTATTCCTTATAAAAGAATCTAATTTAAAATAGTTTTAATTGCTTAGATTATTGCTAATGATTATTAAATAAAAAATACGTAAAATCGTCAAAGAACTTAGTGAATTTATCATATGGCATATCAACAGGTTAAACAAATTTATTTGTATATATTGGTAGATGGAATTCATGTTTCTTTTATTATCCATTTTATTCATAGAAAATGGATGCTATAGGCAAAGTCATATTTCCATCATAACTTAATACTTGCATCATGACTTATGGAAAATCTCCTTATTTTACAGGTAAAATGTTGAACAACATACCATTAGTTTGAGATACAAGAATTGATAAATTTTGAATTGGAGATGTTCCTTCAAATTAGAAAGAGACCTATATTATATTAAATTTTAATTACCTTTCCCAAATGTCCACTTATTTCAGATTTATATTAAACAACAAGATCTCCTGGTTTATCAACAACCTTTCCAATTTATGTTGTTAATAAAACTTTAATTTCATTTAAATTACTAATTGAAGGAGATTTTAAATTATTATCTTCTGGAGATGGTGGAACAATGATATTAATTCCTTCAAGTGCAATTTAACCTTAAAATTAATTCAAATATGGACATGCTTTCAACCAACTCAAATGCTTTTAAAGTTATTCAGGTTTATTTTATAATCTCTATTCTGCCATAGCTATTTCCTGACTAGCTTAAATTCTAGCCTAATTTAATAATGTTGGATCCTTTTATTCTTTTGGATTTAAAACCATTACATATATTCTCTTAGTTAATGGGTTATTTTATTAGACTTATTCTGAATATGGAGGCATTTTAACAACTATTTAATTTAAGAGTTTATCATCTTCCATTAATAATGAAAAATATTCAATTCCTCTTTATTAAATATCTGGATCAAAATGTTCTCCAGCTATTTGACATATCATTATAGCTTAATCTCTTAATTCTGGATATTTGCATGCCAATTTTACAAAAGCATTTAATAACATTTATCTGCTTCTTTCAGTACTGAATGTATAATGTTTGTTGAGAATATCAAAAAGTTTTTATGGTTCTTTATTTTATTCAACTAACATTTAAGAATATTCACTTATAATAAATGCTCCAATACATATTAAAGTTTCATGAACATGAGGCATAGATAATTATGTAAACAATTTGGTTGCTGCATATTTTTATAATTCTATATTGCCTTCTTTTTAAAATCCTACTATAATTTGAATGATTCTAAACCAAATATCTTCTGTTACAAAATCTCCAGATGAATTTATCATTCTTACAACAACATCTATATACCAATATAAATTATCTGCAAATTTTTCAGATAAAATAGCTATTTTTAATATTAAATCATCTTTAATTTATAAATCTGCTCCATTTTCAGCATAACTTAATAATTCTTCTACTATTCTTTAACTAGTATTAGGACTACTTATTAAATATAATAAATCTAAAGCTCTTTTTCTAATAGATATATCATTATCTCTTAATGATTTAAAAATAGTATTTAAATGATCTTCAAGTGAGTCTCCTGCAAGTTTAACAAATTTACACATTGTTTCTAATCCTAGATATCTTAGATTAGGCTCTTTAACTGATATGAAGATCCCAAGCAATTTTAATATATCATTTTTCAATTCCATTCCTACTGCACCATTATATGTTATAACAAGATTTGCAGCTTCGAATAAAATGCCATGATCAACATTATTTTTGTTAATACTTTTAGTGACTTCTGTTTTTTTGATAATTTTAGTTAAACATTCAGTCAATTAACGATGAGAATCAGTTGATGGAGGAGGTGGGGAGAAAAATGATAGAGCTTTCAAAATCTTGACCTATAACCATGGTGCAGGAGTGGCATAATAATTATAATCTCCAGGACTGTCTTTTTAAATTGCAATTTTATGAAGTAATTTAATTAATTTAGGTGTGCAATCTTCAAATATTGATGGATTTTCTAACTAACATGTTCCTACCAATAATGAAGTAGCTGCAGTCATAAATCCTAATGAAGGATGTCTAATAAGAATATATTGAATAACTTTACCTGGATTCAAACATTTAAGAAATTCCTTAAGCCCATTAGGATGGTTGGAATTTGTCTTGATATTTTCTATACATTCTAAGTAAGCAAGCACATGCCTTCTTTCGAACATGGAATGTTGATCTAGATTCTGTCAATGCTAACTTTTAAACATCTTAATGCAATGCATTGACCAATTCCTATGGTGCTTGTGTTCCAACCATAGTGAGGGCCAATGACTGATTTATTTCATTTACAGATTATAGATCATTTCTAATAGAAGATGCTACTTATGTAAATAAGTCATGTGTTTTTTCACTCACCAGAATTGAAGTTGCTACGTATCCTGTATATTTTTCACTAAATTTTGAAGAATTAATTAAGAAGGCGCATTCCTATTATCCAAAGTCAACTTCATAACCTAATAAAATAATAATAATTATTTTTATTACCTAGAATATAGATGTACAACAATTTCCAAACGTATTTCTTTTTCTAATAACCAGCCAATCCTTTTTGAGATGTAAATTTGCCTCTGATCTTTTATAACTCCTTCTCCACTCTTTTCTCTTCTTATTCCTTATTTGAACAATGACGGATGTCAGTGATAAAAGTATTCAACCCTCTCATATTCGTACTCATGTCTTTATTAATTTATTTACTAAATTTCTTTATATATACTTTTCAAATTTTAAATCTGCAATTGACATTATCAATTATAAAGATACTATTATTATACTCATTCTCCTTTATATTAAGGCTTCCTCTTCTCTCCAAATGCCTTTAATCCTTCTAATCTATCCTAACTATGGCAAACTTAATAATATAATTATTCTTCAATTTTTAATCCACTCTCAATATCTACTTCCATTCCTCTATTTATTGCTGCCTTTGCTGCTCTCACTCCTATTGGACCCTTCATTATTACTCATAATACATTCTATAAAATCTAAGATGCAATATTTTCAGCTCTATTATTTGCTTACTGTCCATCTTCCTCTACATAATTTACTAATCCTATTTTTAGTGATTCATCTGCACTTAATCTCCTTCCTGTGAAAATCAATTCCTTAGCTAAAGCCACTCCAATCACTCTTGGTGTTCTTTAAGTTCCACCCTTTTTTTATTATATTATTAATTACTGCTCCTGGTATTATAGCTAATCCTGTTTCAGGTAATCCCAATATTGATGACTTAGTTATTATTCTTAAATCACATGCCAAAGCTAATTCTAAACCTCCACCAAGTGCAAATCCATCTATTACTCCAATTACTGGTTGTGGTAAATTTGCAATTTAATTAAAAGTATCTCTCAAATTCTTTACAACCAACTCTGTCTCAAAATTACTCAATCCTATTCTCTCCTTTAAGTCAGCACCAGCACAAAATGTACCTGATGTTGATGATCTAAGTATGACGCAATTGATATTTTTTGATGCTGCAAGTTCACTTATGGACTGTCTCATTTCTACCAACAATTGTTTTGATAAAGCATTCTTTTTTAATGGATTATTTAATTCAGCAATTGCTAATCCTTTTATTTTCTCATGATTTTTGACTGAAAATAATCCTGATGAAAATTTATAGATTAATTTTTACATTTATTTATGATATAATAATATTTCTTTCAAAGATAATTTATATCAGTTTTAATTCATAAAGAATTAATAAAAGGAATATTGTTTAATTAATAATAATATATTAGGATTATTGTTTCTTTATAAAAATTTTTAGTATTCATTATTTAATATATTAGCTTGAAAATATAATATTTATAATTTATGAATAATTATTCCAGAGATCCACCAAGCAAAATTTTGCTTCTTGTTATAACCTAACTAACTCCAACCTTTCCTCTTTGTAATGATCTTCTTTTTTACTAAATATGGTGATATTAAGAAAATTCTTATTTTCGAAAGAGGTAAGGCTAACAAAGCTTTTGTTGAATATTATGGTGTGAAACATGCTATAGAAGCAAGAAAGGAAAAACTAGGTAAATATTTAGCTGAAGGTGAAGGAAAGTATTAATATTTTAATAAATATAGGCTTACCATACATTTTCTCGCCTTAAAAATCTAGATTTAGAAGTTGTAGATAAATCACGAGGAACAAATTACACTTAAGCAAGTAGCACAAATTCAGATTCCATGAAGCATTCTAACACTGATGATCCAAACGTACTTAGACAATAGATTGAATAATTCACTCGCACTTTCACACAAACTTCTTAAAGAAATCTCAATTCTACCAGAAATGATGAAATTAATAATTTATTGAATCCAGATTCTGATGATGATATTGATATCTTGAAATAATAAAAATAATAAGGACCACAAATTAATTAGGATGTTAAAAATATGATTACTCAAAAACCATCTAAAATTATTTAAGTTACATCAATTGATGATAGAGTTACTGCTAAAATGCTTTATAATATTTTTAACAAATTTGGAAATGTGGAAGAACTTCTATTAGAAAAATAAATGTAAAGAGCCATTTTCAGATATTAAATTATTGAATTTGCTCAAATTGCCAAAGATATTTAAATAATATTTAATTTTTTGATCAATAAGTAATCAAAATATATATTAAACTTTAAGTGGCGAATTTCTTATCGTCTTTTATAACAATTAGAGCCATCTACTATTTCAGATGAATATATGATATATTATAATCCGAATGTACCCAAAGTGATTGTTCCATTATCTAAAACTATTATTCTTAGTGGTGTTACTGAAGCTATGGAAATATCAGAGATGATGAGACTTGTTGCTAAAGTCACTGGTAATATATCTCTAATAATACTAGAAATCAAAATTAATATTTCAGAAACTCTAAAAATCATAGCAGTATTCTCTGACTATGAATACAAAAATTAAAAATTGATTATTTCTATAAAATGAATTAATTATCTACTAACATATATCTCTATTTCTATTTATTGTAGTAATAAATCTATATTTTTTATGAGTATTTTCCAATTTAATTGTTTTTTTTATATTTTGCAACCCTTTAGAAATAGTATAGTCTTAATACAAAATATATTAAATTAAATTTCATTTGAAATTTCTATAAAATAAAGAAATTTTCAATTCCTAAACTAATGAAAAAATAGAATTTATTTTCTTTGTTCTATTGTTGAAGATNTATTAAGAAAATTCTTATTTTCGAAAGAGGTAAGGCTAACAAAGCTTTTGTTGAATATTATGGTGTGAAACATGCTATAGAAGCAAGAAAGGAAAAACTAGGTAAATATTTAGCTGAAGGTGAAGGAAAGTATTAATATTTTAATAAATATAGGCTTACCATACATTTTCTCGCCTTAAAAATCTAGATTTAGAAGTTGTAGATAAATCACGAGGAACAAATTACACTTAAGCAAGTAGCACAAATTCAGATTCCATGAAGCATTCTAACACTGATGATCCAAACGTACTTAGACAATAGATTGAATAATTCACTCGCACTTTCACACAAACTTCTTAAAGAAATCTCAATTCTACCAGAAATGATGAAATTAATAATTTATTGAATCCAGATTCTGATGATGATATTGATATCTTGAAATAATAAAAATAATAAGGACCACAAATTAATTAGGATGTTAAAAATATGATTACTCAAAAACCATCTAAAATTATTTAAGTTACATCAATTGATGATAGAGTTACTGCTAAAATGCTTTATAATATTTTTAACAAATTTGGAAATGTGGAAGAACTTCTATTAGAAAAATAAATGTAAAGAGCCATTTTCAGATATTAAATTATTGAATTTGCTCAAATTGCCAAAGATATTTAAATAATATTTAATTTTTTGATCAATAAGTAATCAAAATATATATTAAACTTTAAGTGGCGAATTTCTTATCGTCTTTTATAACAATTAGAGCCATCTACTATTTCAGATGAATATATGATATATTATAATCCGAATGTACCCAAAGTGATTGTTCCATTATCTAAAACTATTATTCTTAGTGGTGTTACTGAAGCTATGGAAATATCAGAGATGATGAGACTTGTTGCTAAAGTCACTGGTAATATATCTCTAATAATACTAGAAATCAAAATTAATATTTCAGAAACTCTAAAAATCATAGCAGTATTCTCTGACTATGAATACAAAAATTAAAAATTGATTATTTCTATAAAATGAATTAATTATCTACTAACATATATCTCTATTTCTATTTATTGTAGTAATAAATCTATATTTTTTATGAGTATTTTCCAATTTAATTGTTTTTTTTATATTTTGCAACCCTTTAGAAATAGTATAGTCTTAATACAAAATATATTAAATTAAATTTCATTTGAAATTTCTATAAAATAAAGAAATTTTCAATTCCTAAACTAATGAAAAAATAGAATTTATTTTCTTTGTTCTATTGTTGAAGATTCAAAAATTAAAAAATAAAAATAAATATCAAATATTAGTTAGATTTGATTTGTTAAGTTACTCTTTTCTTTATTATAAGTTTACAATTTTGTTTAAAAGGTACTATTATCTTAAGTCTTCTAATTACTAAATTTCATTTGCTCTTTTAAGGATTGAGATATTTAATTTATTTTTTTAAGGAGATGTATCAATTTAATTTGATATATTTGATAACTCTACTTATTTAGGAGATTATTCATATAAATAATTATGCTATTGTGATGTTATTCTAGATGATTCTTGATAATCATATCTTTATTATTATTATCTTTCAGTTTATATTGAATTATTATTTTTATTATAATTAGGATTAGAATCAGACATAGATCTTATATTCTAAGAAAGACCATTATACTGTGGGAAATTATAACTTAAATTTTTTGATTATTTGTTTTTTAATTTATTCTAATTTAGATATTATTAATCGTTTTAAGGTCCAATTAGATTTAATATTAGATCATTATCAGGAACAATATCATTTAAAGTTTCCCATGTAATAACAGAGGATTTTCTTGGTTAATTTGATTCTATTTAGGTATTTAGACTATAAGCTTATTTAATTGAAGGTTTACAGTAACCAATGTGTTAAGTTACCTTTCTCTTTTAAAGATGTTATATTAATTGAATTTTTTAAGGATATTTTTCAAATAATTCAGTTCCTCTTTTAAATTTAAGTTCAAATTGCAACTTTTATAGTATTTTTTTTTCTTTTTCATTATTTTTATAAGTTTCTTATTTTTATTTCCGTTGTCTTAAGATTTCTTTAATGAGAGTATCATCTTTAATATCAGGATGGAATAATTTAAATTAATATTGAAGTTGATCTTTTGTAAATCTCTGTCTATCATCTTTCATCTAAAATGGTTTACCAAGTAATTACATTTTCTGTTAATTTTTTAACCAAATATCTAAACCAAGTTCTTAATAAAATTCACATAAATCAATTCCTCTATAGAATGCTAATAAACTAAATAGTTATTAGAATTATTATAAATTGATGTTTTATCCATTAGTTGCACATTTCTTAAATAGATCTCGAAGTTCTTATTTATTAAGGAATTAAATGTTAAAATCTCTACAAAAATGAAAATATTTAGCTAAATTTAATTAATTACTCTCTTGGTATTATCTATCGAATGTTGCATTTACACCTATTGCATATGATTATTTTGAGTAGAAGTGAAAAATTTATTGAATTATAGTGTTATTAGTAGAATATGAATAGCTATTTCTTCTAGTATTCTATTCTTAAGTAGCAGTTGGAACATTTCTAAATAATGAACTCACTTCAGATTATTTATTTTTGTTTTTCATTTAAAATATATATTGATTAAAGTGAAATGATAGTATTTAATGAAAATATTGAAGGAAGGATGTAAATAATGAATATATTAGATATTAAAATTAAGAGAAGGATTTGATTTAGATAAGAATAAAAATAATTTATTAATAAATATGAGACAAAAATCACAAACTGTTCATGAAGGAGGATTGAAAAAATTATAGACAGTAGATTATGAAAAATGCATATATAATTGTTTATTGATAAAATAAAAATTTATTGGCAGAGGTCCAAGGTACATTTATTTGTTTAAGAATTAAATTTGTATAGGCAAGGTATATACTTATTTTATGATTTTGAGTCTCCTTTTGTTTAGATTCCTGAGCGATAATTCTAAATCAATTAAGATATGAGAATATAATGGTCTTACAAGAAAAACCAATTAAAATCAGTAATATTTTAAGTAGGTGGAGAGTAATTTGAATATTTTGGTACCAATGAATAACTTAGAGAACTAAAATAAAAATGTGCTCTATATGTATTTTAGGTCAAAATATAAGATGAATATCAAGCTGAGTCAATTTTAGGGAAAGGATCATATGCAACAGTTCTGGAATTATCAAATTTATAAACTTCAAAATAGTATGCTGCAAAATGCATAGATTAACAACGTATCAATGAGAAAAAAAATGGATATAAATAATTACTTTAAGAAATAGAGACTATGCGTATTCTATCAGAAATAAAACATTAAAATATTCTATAATTACATGAACTTTATATAGGAAATTAAAATTACTATTTGGTAATGGAGTTGGCTAAAGGAGGATCGTTACTGTCATTGATGAAAAAGCGTTAAACACTATTTAGTAGAGCTGATATAAGAACAATAATGAAATAATTACTAGAAGGTTTAACATTTATTCACAGTCATAATATTATGCATAGAGATCTTAAACCAGAGAATATATTGTTTATGAATAAAGATTTAGAATCATTGGTCATAGCTGATTTTGGATTAGCATAATCAGTAGATTCTCATCCTTATACATATCCAAAATGTGGTACTCCAGGATTTGTAGCTCCAGAAATTTTAGAATAAGATTCAGATTAAGCTAAATATTCAGTTCTTTGTGATATTTTTAGTGCTGGAGTGATTTTATATGTTCTGTAAATATGATATTGAGATATTAGATTGATTGGTGAACCATTATTTGAAAAGAAGGATAGAAAGGAATAATTAGAATTTAATAGAAAATGTGATATAAATTTCAGTAAGTTTAGTCATGATCAATTAAATGATATTGAAAAAGATTTCTTAATTAAGATGTTATCAAAGAATCCTGAATTTAGATGGTCAGCAAATAGTTTATTAAAACATAAATTTTTTGTTTCTGATGATTAGATAGAGAGTGAAATAGATTTCTATAAACTCAATAATATGGCCATGTATGATAAGCATAAGATATTAGTTTGAAGAAATCCATGATGCCAACATTTCTTAAAAATCCATTTATGTAGAATAATATTAAGAATTAAAATACAACAAGAGATAAATCAATATCTCTCATTAATAGATAAAGAAATTGCACTTTAGTTATGCAAACTAATTTAAGATTTGATAAATCCTCATAAGAATAGTTGAATATTGATTAAGTAGTTGGAATAGGTTCCTTTGGATTTTTTAAAGATGAAATTAACTAAACCAACTTTTGAATAATAATAAATTAATCAAATTTATTTTTTACTCACTTTCTAAAATGGATTTAATTTACATATTTTTTATGAAGTACCTCTTTAACTTATACTGCTTTTATCTTAGAAATTTTGAATAATTGTGGCTTTTGATGAACTCTTTGATTTCTAAATTTTAAGAACTCTTTCACTAGGAGGTTATGTTCTTTATGATTCTAGAGTACTTGAAGCTAAATCTAAATATCTAGATGATGTTTATTGAGAAATCTCTATTTTCTTAACTTATTCATTGATTTACTTTTATTTCTTCTTTTTTATTGTATTTTCATCAATATCTAAAATAAAGAATTTAGACTTTTTGCTTTTAATATTTTATTAAGGAATATTTTCTTATTCTTATAATGTTTTTTATCCAAGAATTGATTATTCAATAATTCTTTAATCTTCATTTTAATTAATTGATTCTACTTTTAACATTTCTTATAATCTCTTATCTTACAATTTCTATAAATCATCTTAATTTACTTTAATCTAATCTTCATATTTTCTTATACGTATTGATACATGATTCCCAAGTAAACAAGATTTACGAAATTCAGCCAATAATTTATTTTCTGATCGATGTATTTTCATTCTTTTCTTCATCTTTTATCCTCTTTAATTTATATAATCTAAATCTTAAATCTTTTTAAACCATCTTTTTCTTACATTTCTAAATTTATCTATTAAATCCATAAGTTCTACCAATTAATAAAGAATTTTCACACCTGCCTTTTTAGATAATAATTAAAACTTATTATATTTTCTCTCTTCTTATATTATACTCCATTTCATAAATTACTAACAATCCTATATAAATGTATCTACTAAATTAAATTATTTTATCAAATTTTCTGATTACTTTTATATTGCAAGAATACAAATAATATATAAATAGCAACGCATTTAACAATATTCTTTATAAGGAAAAAATAAATATTTCTCATATATACCAATAGCAAATTCAAATTATGTTTTTGCTTTTTCTAATTCTCCTTATTCTAAAAATATTTCACCTATCTTTTCAATATTATGACCATAACATTCATCCTTTTATATTTAAGAATATTATTTATGAATCTCTTAATATCTTTAAGATGCTAATTAAAAATCATTATTCTTCATAAAACCATTAGAATGTAATAATTTTGTACCAGTCTTTTGATTTAATGAATTATCCATATATAAAATAGAAGATACAAAGTAAACTTATTAAAAAAATGGTTTCATTTTATCATAAATGCTTCTAACTTTTGTTTAATAATAAAACTCTTATGATTACATTCTATCATTATGTAAATGATAATCTTTTATTTGAGACATTATCAATTTTCTTTACTATTAAACAAAATACATTCTATTAAATGTTTATGTCTTAGAAACTGTATATGCTTTACTAGCTCTTGAATAAAATCTTAAAGCACTAAAATAAGAATTACAATTTTAAAATACTCCTGCTAATAAGAATTCTAATTATGCAAAATTTTTATTATGTAAACATTATAATTTATTATCTCTATATAATTAATTTATTTTTCTAGCATAAAACCAACCTAATTTCAAAACCTAAGAAGATTCCTCATTTTCAATATAGATCTTAAAAATCATTAAAACTATTTCTATGACTTCATCTGAAAATTCATCATGTATAAGTTTTCTATACTCTATAGCCTTTTAAAGTGCTTTTAAAGCATTTTCTGGATCATTTAATTAACAAAATACAACACCTAAATCATATGCCAATTTAGATAGGTTATATGTAGCCATATTATGAAAATTAATTAAGACTCTTTAATGTTTTTCAGGTTCATCTTTTTATTTTTATTCTTTTATAGCTTTTTTATTTGAATGCTCTTCTTATTAATTTTCTTTAATTTCTATCCATTTTTCCATTGGAAAATAATTATCATAAATAGTTTTACTCATTTAAAATGTTATCATTGCAGATTAAATTTAGATTGTCTCTTAACAAATAATACCATATATATATAATGAATATCCAAAAAGTAAGGATGAAAGGAGATTCCTTTTCATTTGAATATCAATAATAGAGAATATCATAGAATTAGCTTCATTCAATCTTGAATTAGCTAAACAATGTTCTACATTTGCTAATTGAATTATTACATGTTTTCTCATTTCAATTAATCCAGTTTATGAATGAATTGCTTTTTTAATCTTACGACGTAATAGAAATTTCTTTTATTATTATAATTAACTTATTTACAAGAGTCTAAGTAATACCACTTAAGGTTTTCTTGTAGAATATTACATTAATTATATTAAAACTAAAAAATGAGATGTTGACATTGATTTATCATCATGTTTTTACACCAATTAAATGGCAGGTTCAAGATCATTTTAGAATTATTATTTTCTAATATTTTCATCTACAATTTCTTAAGATTTAGCTTAAGCCAAATATATTAAAGCTTAAACTTTATCAATAGAATATTTATCTTCTTTTTTAAGAAAGTTTTAACAATTTCTTAAGAAATTTCGATTCATTAATAAAGATGAATAATTCATTTCATTTTTTAATTATTCTCTTTATATATCTGTATTTTCTTTATTTTCCATTTATTTTATAGTTAAATTTTCAATATCTAATTCTAAATCAAAATTTTTTAATATATTTTCTTGATCTTCTTCTTCACTTTAAGAAGATATATCAATTATATCCTCAAATTCATTTTGATTTTTCTTTTATTATTTTTTCAACAAATATTCATCTTTCTTTCTTTATTTTTATAATTACTCCATACTCAAAATAAGACAATCCATTTATGTGATGATACTCTTTAAATCTTCTAATGCTCTAATATATAAATTAAATATTACTATTCAATATTGTAATCATTTCCTAAAAGAGATCTATTTAAACCTATTTTAATAAAATCTAAAATGATTCTATCTTCAACTTCATCAAATATAGAGTCAGCATATAAAAGATAATCTTTATATCTTAGTTCTTTTTCTGATTTAACTTTCTTCTTTCTCAATTTACTTATAGTTCTTTAGTTTTAACCTCTTGGATTCTTAAATAATATAATAATGTCACAAATAGCTAAATAATCCTTAAGATAACATTTTCTAAAGGATGAAATTTTTGATTCACTAATACAATTAACTGATGATTCAACATCAGCCTAAAATGGTATAAGTGAACTTATTCTTTAAAATGATTACAATTTAAATACTTTTAATCTCCTAAAATAGTAAATATTACTTAAAGTAAAATTCAATCTATAAAGATATTTTGAATAACAGGAATATAAAATCTTAAGTAAACAATATGTTAATTTTAAAAGACATAAATCAGATAATTAAAGTTACTCAAAATCTAAATGTGTATGTAGATCCTTTAGGGAATAGTTCATTCCTTAATAAAATAATAAAATCTTATAATATTGTGGACAATCTAAATGAGGAAGATCATGAAATAGAAAATAGACTTCCTCAATATATACTAAATATTCTCTTAAATGAGGAAAATAGGTTTAAAGCATAAGATGAAATATAATGTTAAGAAATCTAGGATTAGTTTCGATATCAAAAACTTAAATGACCTCCATTAATTCATTTACTACATCATAATTTACTTCTGCTTTTGATCTATTTGTTATATTTGGCTATTTTATTAATACAGTTGCTAAATCTGCTATCATTGCCCATCTCCTATTAACTACTCTCTTCTCTTAAGATGATGTAGATTTTTAATGACTCTTAAGTACTTATCTTTATACTAATAATAATTATTGAAAAAAGTGTTGCTTTTTAAAATCACTTTCTTCTATGTTAAAATATTTGTCATTAGAAAAAAAACAATTATATCTTGCATGTCTTACTGCTTCTTAATATGTGAATGGATATAATTATAGATGTTAATGATTGTCATTTACTTAAATTCCTTTTAAATCCACCATAATTTCAAAATCTAAAAATGATGCTGATATCTATATTTTGTAAAATGAGGATGTATCCAATTTTATCAATTCTACTATAAATTATTTTATTTTCACATTATACTCTACTTTTAATAAATAATTTCTCTCATCAACCTTTTCAAATTCTCTTTTATGATGACTTGAATTCTTTACATGATGTTCTGTATTTACATTATATTATTTCTTTGAATCATCACTGTTTATAATTTCTTAATCTGAATTTAAAGTTGTTCTTATTCGTTCTTATTGTCCTTCTTCTATTTATATTTACTGCTATTCAAAAACCGTTTATTCTATAATATTTTATATAATAGCATCATGTTAATTATGATTACTTAAACAACAACCCATTTTTTTAAAAGAAGTAAGATCAATTTAAAAACAGTCTTATTAATTAATATAATAAAAATTTATCTTCTTAACAAATGAGTCCAATTTTATAGATCTTAAGAATACATTCATTAAATAACAAAAGAACTTATCAAAAATCAATATTCTAAAAAATATCTATTATTATTATATATTATTTGTTTAACGGTCACTTTGTATGTTGAGAAAACAAAGGCAAAAGCTTATTAATAATGAGAATGAGAACCCATCTGAAAATTATGAATGTAAATTTAATGAATCCCCATAAAGACTTTACTAAGAAAGAAGAGCATAATAATGCTTAGAATAAATCAGTTCTCAATTCCTCTTATCTAACACCTTTGATATTTATGCTGGTTGGAATGAAAAAGAAGAAAAGCCATATAAAAACTATCATAGACCAGTTTAGTCATAAAAATCTACATTAGACTCATCTTTTAGAGTTAGAAGTCAAATAAGAACTGCTACTCCTAATCAGCGAAGATCAAAACGAACTCAATCTCATATGAAAGAAACTAAAATTTTATTAGACATCTGTCCTAAATAGTGTTTCAATTATCCTATACCTGCCTTTAAAACTAAATAATTCTCCTAAAAAGAATAAATTAAATATTTTCAAGGCTTTTATGAAAGAGATGGTAAATCGTATGATTGGATGAGTAATCTGCTATAAGTTAGGAAAATTAAAATGTGATATATATATTTAAATAAATATACTCACTTCATTATTTAATTATTATTAATATACCTATTGTAAAATAAGACCTTAGATGATACAATAAATAATTGTTAAAAATTAATCTTAATATTAATTAATATTTCTCTATGAGAAATCATTAGTCATCCATTAATAATGATTTTATTAAATGTATATCTCTACCTATACTTATTGTCAATATTTAATCAACATCATCATTTTCTATTTGATAATATGCGTGTTTGTTTAATAAAATTTATTATTATAAATTTACTTAATAAGACTTTATATTTCATTATTGCTTTGTATTTTAAATAATAGAGTATTATTGAATAGATCGTAAAAGTAAAGGAGATCCTTTGTTTTCTTTTACAAACTAATTTAATCAATGGTCTAGGTTCATAAAGTTTCAATAAAATTATGTGAGATTATTAAACCTAATCCATAATCATGTAAATTATGATTTTCTAAATTAAAAATAAATAATTACTTATATTATATTTTGGTTGGTATATATCTAGACTTGTGTCTAATACATATAATTATATTAATGTTATATCTTATTCTTTTATACTTCATATATTTTTCTAGAGAATGTAAATGTAATTACATTTTAAATTTAATTAAAGATTATTTATTGTAATTTAGTCTGATCAAACAATATAATCATATACTTATTAAGCTAACTAATTACAAATTACAAGTTTTTTTAATTCTATTTGAATTTTTTAATATGTATTTAATACATTGAACTCATAAAGATAGATAAATAAGTACTTGGATTTATAGATTTCCTCTGTATTTTTGATTTAATTCCTTTATTTCATGATCTATTTCATTATTCAATATCATATAAACATACTTATAATATAGTATCATAGGTCTAATAAGATAATTGATTTGAGAACAGTCAAATAATTTTTGATCTCTTATAAAATTTTGTATTTTATGTGATTCATAAGATAACTTAGTATGTTTGTCTTTCCATTTAGTCTTAATAATAGACAGCTAAAATTGATAGTACGTATTGAGACTATAATCGATATTCAAAATTATTCAATTATATCCATCATAGTAAGAAATTAGGTTATAATGGTTATGCTTTAAATCAGATAGTTACAAAATATTAAAATAATATTGGCAATAATCTAGACAAAGAATTTCGTAAAGTAAATCTTTATAGCTTTTATTTGCAAATAATAATTAATAAACAAATTAAGAATTTGTAAAATTTGGATTTAATATGAATTATTTAATTTATAAGATTGAATTTACAGATGAAATATCCAATCATTTTGAATGATATATTTGTCTATCAATAATAATAATTATTATATAAATAACTTATAATTCTTCTTAAAATATATATTATTAATTATGGAAGATACAATTAAAAAATAAACATGTCATTTAAAAAGACTTATTATTTGAACTAGAAATGTCATAATCTTAGAATTATGCTAAAGAAATATTATTAATTAAAATATTTAAAAAACTACTTAATTTATATAAATGTATAATTTGTGAACTAACAGAAGTAATTAGATTTTATGGGTTGTTTAGAAAAACAAATTAGAAGAATTAAAAGTTATGATTTTTGATGAAATACCCTATGATGATTCAAATCATAATGAAATCTACAATGAGAACTCCAATCATGAAATAATACTTTAATAATTGAAAAATTTAGCAACTACATAAGAAGCAAAGATTTATAGTACATTTAATTAAGATTGGAAGGGTATTAATATGTAGTGATTTTGTATAGCTCAATTAGACCCATAAGTGAGATAATGGATGACTTAAGTGAGATAAAACTATTTCGAAACTTAAAAAAAGTCTTAAAAAGTGATTTAAAATATTTAACTCGAATCTTACTCATCAGATAATCAAACTGCTGATTTATAATTAGATGACTATTTCTAACTGTGAAATAAGAAAATACTGTGTATTCTATTGTGATTCATTATAAATTCATGTAATTAAATTTCTTATGACTATTAAAACTCATCATACTTAAAAATTTATTCTAATTTTAAAGTAATTCTTTGATTATTATTGAATTATATAAAAAGTAAAGTTCTTTATCAAAATCTGATATTAATAATATAAAAAATAACTGATGGATTGGAGAAACAAATTAGAGTTGATTCAAAATAAAATAAGAGGCTAATTACATGCTCGTAAAATAGATGACTTAGAAGGAGTTTATCAATTAATGGCTGAATTTGATAAAGACAATTCTGGTATCATTAAATATCTAATATAGGTTATTTGGATAAAGATGAATTCTAAAAGTTTCTATCTAAAATAGGTGTCTTTCTTACAACTCAAGAATTAAGAGCAGTCTATGATAAATATGATTCAAATAAAGATGGCAATATAGCCTATGCTGAGTTTGTGAATCTTATAAGAGAAAATATGAGTGAAAGAAGAATCAATGTTGTCAGAAGTACTTTTGCATTTCTTGATCAACAAAGACAAGGAAGACTCTTATTAGAAAACTTGTATAGACTATATCAAGCAAAAAATCATCCAAGAGTAAGAACTAGATAAAAGACTGCAGATCAAGTTACAAAAGAGTTTGTTAATGCTATCTCAAAAAGAAGCAAAGATGGTCAAAGTATAAGTGAAGATGAATTCTTAAATTATTATGCTGATTGTAATGCAACTCTTCCAAGTGAAAAAGAAGAATATTTTACAGATGTATTCTTTATTATATATATTATTTAGTTATTGACTTCTACTTGGGGAGTCACTTCAGGAGCTGATTATGTTTCTCCAGAAAGACTTGCATAATTGGAAATTATATTATTTGAAAAAATAAGATAGAAAACGGTTACAAAGGATGATGAAGGTAAAACAGCTAAGAAGGCCTTTATGTACTTTGATTTAGAGAATAAAGGGACTATAGATATATATTAATTTGCATAGGCTCTTCAAAAATTTGGATGTGTTTTCAGTGATAAAGAGATTTAAGCATTATTTAATAAATATGATGCTGATAAAAGTGGAAGATTATGTTATGATGAAATTTGTGGATTGATTGCTTTAATGGGATCTGGAAATAATGCTAATGTTAATCCAGTATTTTAAATTGCAAGAGCTCCCCCTTAAGAAACTTTAAATAGAATTAGATAAGATTTAGTAAAGAAAGGTTAACATTCTGTAATTAGAATGGCTACTATCTTTGCTAATTCAGATAAAAATAAGAATGGAACATTAAATAGACAAGAATTTTAATGGGCTATGAAAGAATCTGGTTTTTTACTAACTAAAACAGAATATGATAATCTTTTTAGATATTTTGATAAGAATTGTGATGATGAAGTCTCATTTGTTGAATTCATTAGTTTCTTAAGAAGTATATTATCTATATAATAATTATATTAGAACCATTAACTTAAAATAGAGCAGATCTAGTCTGTTAATTATGGAATAAAATATCAAATGGACAACCATCAATATCAATTTAATAACTTAAATGTAAATTCAATATATTAATTTTATAGAATGTTATGATGCTTCTAAGAGTCAAGATGTATCTTTAGGTATTAAGACTGTTGCTGATTCAACAAAAGATTTTAATGACATATGGAAAGATGTATAGGCTGTAACCTAATAATAATTTATTGATTATTTAACTGATATTAGTGCTCTTATAGAAAGTGAAGCAGCTTTTGAGAAATTCATCAGAAATTCATGGAGATGAATATAATAGAATATACATATATATATATATATATAATAAATTAATTAATTGCTCTTTAAATATTAATGATATCATAAATCACTTTAAAGCTTGTTTTTAGAACAGCCACAACAACATGTTAAATATATTATTATTACCAATAGGAAAATAATAAATAATAGTTTATACAAAACTTCTGATTATGTATAGATTCCTAAACTAGTCAAAAAATTCATTTAACTTTTTTTGCTGTTTGTGTATGGTGGATATCTAATAAATAAAATATTTATTTAATACCTTGCTGATGGATCAATTGTTGATTTTTCAAGAACAGGTTTTAAATGTTAACATTGATCAAATCCAAATTTACTACCACAAACTCCATAACCACTATCACCTACTCCTCCAAATGGTAATTCTTGATTAATTAAATGAAAAATGCAATCATTAATACAAACACCTCCTGATGATGTAGATTCAAGAATAGCATTTTTATGGATTTTATTTGTACCAAAATAATAGAGAGCCAATGGTTTAGGTCTAGAATTAATAAAATCAATAGCTTCTTCAATCTTTTTATATGTTATAATAGGAAGTATTGGTCCAAATATCTCATTTTTCATTAATTCACTATTAGGATCAGGATTAACAACAAATGTTGGTTCAATCCATTTTTCTTTTAAATCATATTAACCACCATGAACAATCTTACCTCCATGATTATTTAAATATTCAGCAATTCTATTAGTATGGAATTCATTAACTATTCTGTTGAGACATCCAGATTTTTTAGTTTCTGGTCCATAAAAATCTTTTATTTATTATTTAAATGTGTTAACAACATTATCTAATATTGATTCTTCAACTAACACATAATCTGGAGCTACACATGTTTAACCACAATTATATAATTTTGTAGATATTACTCTTCTTCCAGCTAAGGCTAAATCACTTGAAGAATCAATAATGCATGGTCCTTTACCACCTAATTCTAAAATACAAGGAACCAAATTTTCAGCTGCAGCTTTGGCTACTAATTTTCCTTTTTCTGTTCCTCCAGTAAAAATAATAAGATCAAAAGGTTATTTGGTAATATTAATTGCTACATTAACTCCTCCTTCTATAGCACGATAGAGGGATTAATCCAAATACTTTGTTATTAATTTAGCTAGGAGATTAGAAATATTAGGAACCATTTCAGAAGGTTTCAATACAACTGCATTTCCTGCTCCAATTGCTTGAGCTACCTAAGGTATACAAGTGAAAATGGGATAATTCCAAGCTCCTATAACTAAAACAACTCCATAGGGTTCTGGTATTAAATAGCTTGTTCCTGGAGCTGCCATTATGGATGTACTGATGGATCTTTTGGCTGTATATTTATATATATTTTTGATGTCACATTCAATATGAGTTAACACTGCTTAATACTATACTAATTCACAAAAGAATTAATCTTAATATCCCAGATCCTATAGAATTTTTAGGAAAAAAATACTTTCTGAAAAGCTTCATAAAATTCATTTCTTAATTCTTTAAGACCTCTGAGTAGGTTATGCAACTATTGAAGTCTAAAAGGAATAGGTCTTGACTTTTTAGTCAGGAAATTTGCTTTGAGTTCTTTAAGAGTTGGAACTATAATAGATACGTCATCCTTAATCATTGTTTTTTTGGATATTAATTATTAAACTATATTGATTAATAATATAAATAGGGAATGTTCTTTGTTTATTTTGCATCTTTAATATATCTTTTAGCAGCTCAAGAAGAATAAGAATCTATTGAGGATGATGAATTTTTAAAGCCTCCACCTGATGACGAGGGTTCATTCGCACATCCATTACATAGAACTTATTTATAAGATTCATATTGTATGGATGGGACACAAGCAGCTGCTTATGTTTATGAAGGTAGTACTGATGATTTAATAATGTATTTCTATTCTGGAGGAATTTGTGTAGAGGATAGCACTAAATTCCTTAAATATGGAGATTACGTTTATATTGATAATTGCACTCATAGAAATACTACATTTTATGGGACTACTAATGGATATCCAGAAGAATTCAATGCTAATTAAGGTTTAATGGGAAATAATAAATATTAGAATGTTCATCTTAGAAAAGCTCACAAAATGTTCTTAATGTATTGTGATGGTAATATGTGGTATAAACAAATGAATGCTTAAGTCTTTAAAGGAGCATTATCATAAATGAAGTTAATTCCTAAAAGAATAATATTAGCAGGATCAGGTGTAGGAGGTTGGTATTTAGTAAATAAATATAATGAATTAAGAACAGTCATTAAAGAATTTTATTAAGAAGATGTTGATTTAAGAATACTTTTAGATAGTGTTATTTTTGATATTTCTAGAAATCAAGATATTATAGATGCATATACTGAGGCTACAAAGAGAGTAGGTTTAACAATGGATGATATTTTCTCTTTTGATGCATTACGAAAGGTAGATGTCCCAACTTTTATTGTACATGCTTAATATGATTGGTGGCAATTAGAAATTAGTGATGGTTTTGATTGCATAGGTAAAATTCATTTAGATAAATGTACTCCAAAAGAAAAGAAATAGATAGAAAAGATTAGATTAGGCATATTATAATAATTGAAAGATTTAATGAAATCTAAACCAGATTGGGGATTATGGGCAATAAGTTGTGTATTTAATGAATTGATTATATGGACTGAAGCATGGAATCATCCAAAATTTTAAGTTCCTATGGTAGAAGGTGGAAAACTTTCTGATAAATTTTAAGAGTAAAAAATATTAGGTTATTTTTTTAGTTGGCTAGAAAATAGAGGAGATAATCATGTACATTATGATGTTGTATCATGGCCAGATAATAAACCATGTAGTAATATCTTTCATAATGGTAAGACTGATCCATAATTGGATGAAATGATTAGGAATTATGAGATTAAGGAATCAAGGAGAAAGAGAGAAGAAAAATATGATTTATGAAATATAATTAATTTATTTAATGGAAGAAAGCATCTATAATATAATAACAGAAGATCCACTTCCCCCTAAGAGATAAAAAAAATATAGATCCTAATTCCCAGGTACAATATAACCATCTTATAGTACATTTGCTAATCACTCAAATATTATTTAGGTATAAAAATCATTATATATACTCAAGGTGAAAAATATAAGTGGAGATTATTAATTATCATCTTATAGATATGCATCTGAAAGTGGAATTATAGGAAAATCAAAAACATGTATATGATCTTATTTAAT